TTATGAACTGTGAGAATGAGAAACCCACCAGACTGCTGACATCAAAATCACGTGCGGAATGAATATAAGCAGTTTATTCATCAGCCGTTCGCAGCAACATTCCACCGCAAAAGCATCAAACAGAATCATACATGAGGACAATCGAGGATTTCGAAACCAGAACAAATTGATTGTAAACCGGCATGTTATCTTGTACGCTTCATGATTTAATGCAAAAGTTCACTTCAGAGAGGAAGATGGAAGGAGAATATAGCATAGCGCCACAGCAAATGTATAGTCGATAGTCCAATGGCAAACCGTGATGGATCAGACTCGGAACCGCGAGTTGGTGCCACATTCTCCTGGTGTTCGTGAACAACATATGCTCCAGGATAACAGCTCTCAGATTACCGTTTTTGCATTCTAACGTCATTCTGTTGTTAGGTAGTGAAATTCATGTTTACATTGATTTGGTAATATTCGTATGGAAATAGAAGAAAAATCTGATTGTTTTGTTTTGGTATCGAAAATATTTCTTTAGTGAGCGTATGTCTGATAGCTCTTCGTAGGCATTCGAAGTATGGCCATCTGTTATGTTATCCTCTATTTTCGATTTCTAGAGTTACACACAGAATCGAGAAATCTTCGATTGAGTGTGATCAATGTATCACAATTTTATGCCGAGGATGAGTTTCTGTGAAATGGAGAAAGTGGTAGCACTAGTTGATCATACGGTTTGTTTATCACACCGAGAAGTGATCTAACTTCGTTGAAGGGATTTAAAAACTCCTACGCTTGTTTAGACCCAGCGAATTGGGACTTTTGAATTTCTTTTTTATTGATAAGAACCCTGTCGAACATGCTTATTTGTTCAGAGTCTGTAGAAATGATCGATGTTCGGCACGTGGTTCATTTCGATATCGCATCAAACATTTTGCATTTTCATATGGATTATTCTAGACACTTCGCCATTTTTCATACGAAGAAATTGCGCCGAATCAGGTCAAGGATTGAAAAAAGCTGCAAATGAACGGTGTTGTGTTCATGCACATTTTGAAAGCAAATATTATTTGATATTGTTTCCAGGACAAAACGAGTCACGTTTTACTCGCACATTCATATAAGCACATACACACTGAAAGAGAGAAAAGATCTATTTCAATCTGTTCCTGGAACCATTTGCTGATCGGAACAGGGCAAAAAGTGATACATTCAAACATAATCCCGAACGATAAATTGAAAATCAATAATTCGCATCAAATTCCTGCAAAGAATACACGAAGACGAAGTATTCCTCACATTTGCAAAAGCGTTAAATTTAATTGAAGTCATCCAGTTAATGTTTGTTTTGATCTCAGAGTTTTTGAACATTTTCGGGAGTGTGCGCGATTCAGGTGCTTCATTTTTCTCATAAATTCATTCGAAATAGTAAAACCAAAGAGGCGGAACTATGTTTCAACGTTGATTGAATAACATTACATGATACGATACAATGAGGTTGTAAACCAGTCAAAATAAGTGTCTCCTTGACCCATTTTCAACAGACAGATAGACAGATAGACAGACAGTCAGACCGTTTTATGCACGATAGTTGGAGCAATTGTTCAGACAGGTAGTCACCAAGGCCGACTAAGACGGGGACAGGAATATGACTCATGTCAGTCATACAGAATGAACGTGCGACCTGACTTTGCGCTCTGCTATACGCATAGTATTTCTAAAATATTTCTAAAATAGAGCTGGCGAGTCATTCGTAAGCGATACACCGTCATGGAGATGAATACCACTTATGCACCATTTGTGCCAAATGAGTCATATTCCCTCGCTCGCTCTCTCACTGCTAAATGACTTTTTAACTCCATTCACCCATTCTCTAAATTTATAAAACAATGAACACACAACAATGGGCATCTCATTCCGAGCTTGTTGAGGCTCATATTGTTTTAATTACCGTCTCAAATCCCCTATTCCCCGAGATGTTGTTCCCGGTTAGAAATGCTGTGAGAGTCAGTGAACTGAAAGGGTTCACATGTAATTCTGTCTAACAAATTTAAAAGGTAAACACAAAGTAAGTGTAGACAGCATGATGGATTGGTCTTGACTAGCGATCACCTGGGGTCCCGTAGTTGAGGAAGGACCACGAGCAACATTAATGCATGCTGCTAACTGCATCTCCAGGTCCCGGAAAGGGAAATGATGACCACTATGATTAGCCGTGCATAGGCGAATCTATTTTAATAAAGTTGTAGCGGACAGTCAGTGGCGGTGTTTGAGGGTGTAATGGGTTTTCGCCTGGCTAAAGAACTCCTTATAAACGGCGTCTATGTTCACTTATAGCATCAGGACGTGGGTAAGTATGGCTCGCCAATCAATATAGCTACAATTCTCTCTTTAGTTGCCATTAAGAAAGGAGTTCTCGGTTGGAGGGTGCAAACCACATTGGCGACCAGCTCCCCTGGATCATAATGGCATGCTGCGTGGTTTGAATCACTTTAGCCATCCAAAAATAATATGAGCCATGTCCTGGTCACTGCTTCCGAAGAGAACATTATCGTTTCGGTATTGCAATGGGAAGTTGTCCAGGAGTATTTCAACTCTGAACTTGTCTTCCGACTTGCAGAAGCAAAGGCGCTCTTCACCGGTTTCGCCAAATTTTCCGCTGCACCGTCTGAGCAGGGATGACGTGGTGCTGTTCGCAGATATCGGCAACTAATACTGTCCAGCCACGTTTTCATCTCTGCAGCCCAGAACTACGATACTTTATCGATCACCAACGCTTATGGAACGCCTTTTCGACTGAAGCACTTTCGTAGAGCCCGCATTAAACACGAAGTAGTTGNATCATAATGACCGAGGAATGCCCTACAGAAGTCGGCATGCACGCGTTTCCAAGGGATACAGCTTTCTGACCATGGTACCCAATTCTTCGGTCTTGAATTCTGCTTGTGTAGGCATGCGTCGCAGTTCTTAGCAGTTCGATCAATGTCTTCATCAAGGCCGGACCACCAGCACATCTATCGCGCCAACGACTTCATCTTCTCCACCCCTAAGTGGGCCTTGTGTAGATCTTCTAGAACTACCTTGCGTAATGAAGATGGAATGATCAGTCCGTCGTTGCGGCATAGTATTCCATCAGGTTGTTCACTGATTTCTTTCCGATGATCGTAGAATGGTGGGACTCTCAGCTTCAGA